ATAAAACCTACTTTTGCCCACCCCTGTGTTTTCTGGAATTGTTAGAACTCACATGGGCTTTGAATAATTTAATTTTGCAACTCGCCTATTTCTTCTTGGAAAGCCCTGAAGAGAACTGTTCTTACAGCCTTAGAGTCAGTCATTCTTGCTCAAAAGTATTCTTTTTAAGTAGTTTTGCTTTGCTCCCTAGTTTCTTATGTGAATAAATCCCAAATGTTAGCACATAACTTGTTTTTAAAGTAGAAATCATTTTTAAGTAGTTTTGCTTTGCTCCCTAGTTTCTACCAGTGTTTTCTTATGTGAATAAATCCCAAATGTTAGCACGTAACTTATTTTTAAAGTAGAAATCTAACTGTCCATATTTAAATTAAAAGTGTTTTATTGTCTTTCCAGATTATTGCTTTAGACACAGTCCTGGGAGCCAGTGGAATAGGGAGAGTTCAACTACAACCACGGTTGCTCTGGTGATAGTGCAACTACATCTACCAGGCAGATACAGTCTAGCCACCATATGAAATGAAAATTTAAACACTAATGATGGAAATTCAATTTGATGCTGTAGATGGTGTGATTTTTGATGCAAATGTTATAGGTAATACCTCTTCAGGATATGAAAAAAGTACAGCAAGTATTACTGACTGTACTCTACATTTTAAGGAAGAAAGGAGGAGGACCACTAAAAGGAGAAAAGTGAAGTGGCGTAAAGTGGGGAATACCTGTGTAAGCCATACCATTTTAACAATAAATCATTAAAGGAAATAGTATTCCTACTATGTATGTTTTTACCTTTGATACTTTTTCCCTTCAGTATACTTGCTTTTCTCCTTTTGTCTTCTAATAGACTTGGAAAGAAGCTACACTGATGGATATGCTGCTGCAGAAGCTCTCAAGTTTGTTAGGAATCCAGTGCACCAGAACACACGTGAGGAAACAGCCGTGACAGTCGTGGGCACTGACACTGAACTATCTTAACCCTGTTACCAGCTAGCGAGTACTTACTTTTGCATGGCACAGCTTTGAAAAGTACAGATGTTTACAATACACTGTTAAATTTTGTCAGTAAGGAATCACAATGCCCTTTGCTCAAAGTCCTTACGTTTATGATCTTGGCACTGTTGGGAAAGGGTTAACGCTGCAAGAATGAGTGACACATTTAACTGGCTCCGCTGCCAAACGAATAACAGAACACTCACAACCAGTGTTGTTCCAGGACAGCTGTGGGAGATACGTGAGTCAGATGCGACCTCACGGCAGCTCATCCTATATAATAAAAGGCTAATATGCATATCAACTGAACAGCAGAACAACCAGTTGCTGTGGTGCACACTGACCACCAGGGGGCAGATGCTCAATGCAAGAGCTGTGCCCTGGTGGTCAGTGCCCTCCCACAGGGGGAGCACTGCTCAGCCAGAAGCCGGGCTCATGGCTGGCAAACGCAGCATCAGTATCAAGAGCCTCTCCCGCCTCCATGGCAGCACTAAGGATGTCCAACTGACAGCTTACACTGTCAATCAGACATCTCCCAAGGGCTCCCGGACTGCGAGTGTGTGCAGGCCAGGCTGAGGGACCCCCCCCCAAGTGCACGAATTTCATGCACCAGGCCTCTAGTTAAAAATAAAGACGCAGGCACGTCATCGGCCCGATGGGGAGCATTTCTCACACTGTCCTCCTTGCCCTGATTTCATTAGGTCCTGGAAGCCGCTGCAGAGTCCCAGAGGAGTGACCAAGCAAACTCACAGGTGCTTTCTGGGCTTAAATACAGAGACTGAAAGGGTTCCTTACTGCTGCAGGCATCCACATTACCCAGGAAGCCAAAGGTAAGGTCTGGCTTGTGCCCAGCATGGGTCACTTGCTTACAATATTCTCCACTAAAATCCAACTTTGCACCTCCCTATTCAACCCAACCAGTGGAGAAAGCAGCTCATAGAATTTTTAATTTTATTATCAGCTACCAAGGTATAGCTACAAACCAACCAAAAACATTAAAGAAAGGTTGCTTGAGACAGGTATATACAGATATACTACACAGAAGCCAAAATCTTATCATCTGATCCCAAAGCCATCCCTGTGGGAAAAAATGGCCTTAGCTAAGGGGCAAAGGAGCATGTTACAATAGTAAAAGTATTGTCCATCAAGGAAAGCAGCAAACTACAGCCACATGGGCACCAAAATGTATGAGATTAGTTTTTAAAGGTTCTCTTCATCGTGAAGTTTTCAAATGAAAACAGGAAACCCTCTTCTCCTGTAGGCTTTCCAGCTCACTATTCAAGAGACTTGAATACTTCAATTAAGGCAACTGGAAGCCCACCTTAGCCTTGAATAGTGACTTCTGCCCAACATGTGGCCTGTTCTTCCTTTGTCAGTAATATAATCCAGCAGAACATGCTAGGGGAAAAACAGGAATTTATACAGTGCTGCCCTCTGATAAAAGGGAAACAGCACTCAAAGCCAAAAGGCCACAGAGGGCTCCCTGGGAATCCAGTAGAACTGAGAGGCCTTCAACTTTCCAAATAAACTTTGCAACTGGATCCAGGTGGAACATTGCCCTGCAGCAAGTAGTGAAAATGCCAATGAGGAGAGGACCCAGCTTCCAAGAACTGTTACAGTGGCTTCCTGAGTCATTCATATCAGAATGAGAAAATAGACATCTTAGCCTTGATTCTCTCTCACCACAAATCCACCTGTACCAAGTCTAGAACCTCAGCACAGGGCTCGGACACTTCCTAAGTACTCTCTTCCACAGCCCAGCCATCTTTCCCTTCTCTCTCCCCTGTAGAGGGATGGTGGGACAGGCGAGGAGAGCGCCTGGGTTAACACTGACAGGAAACAGACAAGCACAGCTTACAGGAGTCAGCTGCTCCGGGCTCACAGTGTCTCCAGTCATTCATCTCTTAGGAGCAATAAAGAACTGGAAAGCACCATGATTTGGTAGAGCAGGAAGAGAGCCCATAGGAAGAGTGTGCTCGATGATGGTTAAGAGATGAAACCGAATTCCATGGAGATTCTTAGTTACAAGGAGAAACTTCTCAGTCTCAACTCTGGTGCCTGGATTAGGAGGCCTATGTTTTCTTTTTCAACTCTTCAAATCTCCGGGAAAGATCATCAAAGTCAATGTCCTCAGATGCTGAGGTGCTGGCACCAGCAGATGCAGTTGGTAGTGTATCTGGCACGGACGGCAATTCTGGGAGTACAAAGTTGTCATAGGTATCCACGGGTCTCGCAGGGGGCTTGGCAGAGGCTTCTGGCTTGGGTCTAGGACCTAATTAAATCAGGGCAAGGAGCACAGTGTTACAAATGCCAGAGAGGTGGCTCAGAGCCATAGTCCCCTTTGGCAGAAACAACAAATCAAATACAGTAGAAAAGTTTTCCTTCTAAATGATTAATTCTAAAGGTAAGTACACAGAGCATTCATTTAAACACATTGTCCCCTTTCACAAAGGCCTGCTCCCATAGCAACAAAGTCCAAAGTCTGGAGTGGTACCAGAATTCTGTTGGATGAAGTTACTCTTTAAGGCTTATCGGGAAAATAAGAAATGTTAATGTCAATCCTATTTGATGGACTGGGATCTGATCTGTATTTCTAGTCTTCCATTTTATAAGTTAAAAATCGCCCCCTTTTCTATTTACTGCATATTTATTTCTATTTATATGTAAGTTCTAGAACAGGTAAACCTAAACTACAGTTTTAGAAAATAAGAACAGTTCTTGCCTCTGGGGTGGACTTGACTGAAAGGAACAAAAGGGAACTATCCTAGGGGGACAGAAATATTTTATAACTTTGCTGAGGTGGTGGTTACATACTATATGTGGGTGCATAGACACACATGTAATATCAAAACTCATCAACAATAATTTTGTGTATAGAAATTATGTAAAATACAACTCTCTAAAAAAAAAACATACTCCCTATGGCCTTCTAGGGTGCTGGTAGTGGTTTTGTATAGATGGCTACATACTTATAATTTGTGCCTATTCACCCCTCCTTATATAAAGAAGTTGAAAAAATAAAAATGTGTGAAAAAGAAACAGGGAACTTGTGAGATTCTTTGGGGCCAGGGAAGATTATTTTCCTTCTGGCAGAGGGAAATCCTGCGTTCTGTTTTTGCCATACTGCATGTGGAGGGTGGACAGGGCATGTGGGTTGAATTCCATGTATGAGAAAACAGCAAAGGGCTCAGCATTGAGCCATAAAGAAGTTGAAAAAATAAAAATGTGTGAAAAAGAAACAGGGAACTTGTGAGATTCTTTGGGGCCAGGGAAGATTATTTTCCTTCTGGCAGAGGGAAATCCTGCGTTCTGTTTTTGCCATACTGCATGTGGAGGGTGGACAGGGCATGTGGGTTGAATTCCATGTATGAGAAAACAGCAAAGGGCTCAGCATTGAGCCTTGAGGGTTTCCCACTCACACTTACCAACAATCTGTGCAGAAGAGACATTCTTATCAGCATTACTGTCATCCGCCTGAAACACAAACATTGTTACCAAAGAAAGCACGGATACATAGATAAGCCCCTGTGCTGTCCAAAAGCTAAGCTGCTCAGCGAAAGCATCAGAACCTGCCCCTCCACTCCTTCCTGCTCTTCCAGACAGATACCAGATGACATAGACACCATGCTGAAAACCAAGCAGAGAAAAAGGAAATCTAACCACAATGTAACAACACCTCTTTAATCTGATACCTTCACCTTCCAGGCAGAGAAAGCACGAAACCACTGACTTCATCTCCAAGAACCAAGTCTTCAAACAGTTGTGGGCAATGCTTCAATGCATGCAAGACCAAAATGTAAGAAAAACTCAGGCCCAAGGTAACATAACCAAAGGAAAGAACACTAAGCAAGCTCAGGAACAGGAGAATCTCCCTAGATGAGTAATTTCCACAGCAGACGCCATACCCATTCGTTTTCTCAGTTATGCATCAGATGGAAAAGCTCTCAAAAGACACATACCAGCCCTGGTCAGTTTATCTCCATAGTTATAGAGCATTGGGTCGTGGGTTTGATTCCCAGTAAAGGGCACAGACCTCAGTTGCAGGTTCGATCCCTGACCCCAGTTGGGCATGTGTGGGAGGCAACCAGTTGATGTGTGTGTGTGTCTCTCCCCCCTCCCTTCTACTCTAAAAAAAGGCACAGACTGGCTGAACAAACAAGGATGGCAGGAAACAAGTCATCTAATTCTAAACCAAAGCTGCTACCACCACCTACAGCGTTCAAAGCATCAAATGACCAATTAGAGCAAGTTTTAACCACAATACTGAAATGTAAAACTAATGCTACAGGACACTTGTGTGTCAGACAAAAATCTGCTTTACACAGTATTAAGATTTATAAAGCTGGTAGTTTAATTATGAGATTCTAGCACTAAGACTACCAGTTCCAGGAAGTCTCTACATAGTCAAAAAAAAGATGGTTACGTGCCCTACTAGAACTTTCCAAGATCTGCAGCTCCCTCCTGATCCTGGCTGAATTGCAGACAAAGCATTGCCACCAATGATGCTGCTGCCACCACCACACTCCATTTCCAGGATAATGTAAAAGCAACACAATCCAGAGCAAGAACAAGGCTGGTACTAGAGTTGATCAAAACTTTGCCTTCCCTTTGGCCATTATTCTGCTCTCTCTTCATGGGATTCACTCTCCTGCTGCTTACAAAAGAGGCTCAGGCACTTACAGATTCATACGATGGGGGAACTGGTATCTGAGGTGGGTGAACATTGGGAAAAGCCTGATAAGGCCCCATTGGCAATCCATTGAAATCCGACTGCAAGAGGAGAAAGGCAACATCAGAAACACTGCCCCCAACTAGCGATTTTCTCCAGTATATATATATATATATGTGTATACACACAGAGAGAAGGTCCTTAAATAATGTCATTTCATTATAATGTTGAATGCCATAGGAAAGTAACTCTTGTTTCTATCGATTAGCCTAGGGTAAGGTTTCATAATACATCATTTCACTTAAAGTCACAGAACTATCAATGACATTAAATAGGACTTATTAAACACAAGAACCCCAAAAGAAGAAAAACAAAATACCACATGTCATCAGAAGAATTGCAGATTTTTAAAGATCTGCAGCCAAAAGCTGTTATGCAAATTATAAATCCATTGCTTACAGAAAATGATTAGACTTTACAACAATGACCTTCATCTTCTTGTCTACAAAAGAAGTTTTTTTACTTGGCAATAAATGATTGTATTCAGTTTTATTTTTAAAGCTACTAATCTGGCCCTGGTCAGTTTTGGCTCAGTGGATAGAGCGTGGGCCTGTGGACTGAAGGGTCCCAGGTTCAATTCTGGTCAGGGGCACATGCCACGGTTGTGGGCTCATACAGGAGGCAGCCAATCAATGATCCCCTCTCATCATTGATGTTCCTGTCTCTCTCTCTCACTCTTCCTTCCTCTCTGAAATCAACAACAAAAACTACTAATCTGCCAGCAACAGGTCCCGAATGTTTAGTTAAAAAATAAACTACATGCCAAAACCGGTTTGGCTCAGTGGATAGAGCATCGGCCTGTGGACTGAAAGGTCCCAGGTTCGATTCCGGTCAAGGGCATGTACCTGGGTTGCGGGCATATCCCCAGTAGGAGATGTGTAGGAGGCAGCTGATCGATGTTTCTCTCTCATCGATGTTTCTAACTCTCTATCTCTCTCCCTTCCTCTCTGTAAAAAATCAATAAAATATATTTAAAAAATAAATAAACTACATGAAGATGAGTTTTTCTAGCACCATCTCTCCAGATTTTTCCACTGCATTACTTCTAGCTGAACCAAAAGGCTTTCTCTAAATCCCAATATTTTTCACACAATGTGATCAAGTTAGTATTTGTTCTTACTGCTTAATCGTCTTGACAATCTACAACTCCTGAGTATATTCACAGAGCCAACCTGTCATTTTCTAGAGCTTACATAACATTTATTTATATGTATACTTACTGGTCCCTTCGGAAGTGGGTATGAGAAAGGAGTACTTGGAGATGGCATGGGCATGGGCATGGGCATTGACACCGTTCCATCAGGTCCACCAACGGGTGCTGTGAACCCGCCCCCACCTCCTCCTCTTCCAGGGCCCCCTTTCTTCACATCATCTGTGAATCCAACATCAATAAGATCTGTCTCTACTCCAGGGGGAGCTTCTGCCTGAGAAAAAGAGAGAAATTCATATCATCACCCCACATCGCAGGCGAGGTCCCAGGAAGCAGACTCTGAGATGGAGATTGGCATGAAGGAAGTTTACTAGGGCGATCTAATGACCTGTGGGAAAGTGAAGGAAGCAGGGATGGGTCAAGTAAGAAGTCGGGCTATTATGCAACCAAAGGCTTCAGCCAATTAGCCAGGGATCTCTGGACCTAGGTGGGGTGACCCTATAGCAGATGTCCCCAACTGTGTCGAAGAGGAAGTGTCTTTATTTTTTTAAATTTTTTGTTAATCTTCACCTGAAGGCATTTTCCCATTGGTTTTTAAAGGGAGTAAGAAGGGGGAGAGACAGAAACATCGGTTTGAGAGACATCGATTAGTTGTCTCGCGCATGCGTCCCAACTGGGGCCAGGAATCGAGCCTACAACTGAGATACGTGCCCCTGACCAGAATCAAACTCGGGACCAAGCTGATGCTCTACCCACTGAGCCAGACCAGCCAGGGCAAAGGGAAGTGTCTTTAAATCCCTGCACTGACCAGTTACTGAATACTGCCCCCAGGAAAGACTGGGTAAGGGGCCACTGCTGGAGGGATACTCAGCTTTGTGTGAGACACCAGTGACCAATACTCTCAAGAGCTGGGGGATTACATCTTGTTCTGAAAATGTGGGGTGGTGGTTGTCTCAGCAGCATACCAAAGCATCTGCTAAATGCCACTGACCTTAACTGCTGGATAGTTATTGGTTACCCTCCTTACACCTCCAGTCTCTTTAGGATAGAGACCTTGTTTTTATATATCTCTGTATTAACAGCTTTCTGTGCATTGTCTGGCACATCACAGGTATCTAATAAGCATCAAGGTTTGTACCTTTTCAAAGTGCTTTCAGGTATTCTTTTCATCTGATCCATATGAGATATGTAGGCAGTTTTTACCCAAAAGGCACTAACTGGGCAAAGGTTTAAACCTTCACACACAAACTGCAGTGCAAGGAATACGGTTAAGAAAGCGGTATCTAGAGACTCACTTTCCTGAGTTCTCTGAAAGACTCTAAACTCACCATGACCACAGAGTCAGGCTCATAGGGCACATTGTAGTTCTTGGCAATTTCAATCAGGTATCTCTCCACCAGGATTTTGGGCGGAGCTTCCACACTCAGTTTGTGCATTAGCTGTAATTAAAAGACCCAGAGTTAAGATGCATCTACACCAACCAGCCCAAGTCTAACCTGTCTCACTTTTACATTTTGTTCCTCTCATTTTAGTAAACTGAGGCAAAAACAAAACAAAACAAACAAAAAAGGGTTCAGACAGTTAAATGATTTTTTCCAGTCACAAAATATAAGACCCAAGTCTCTCTACCATTCTCTGGTTATATAACTGAGGGAGCACTCACTGTCCAATATGTAGACTTTCACAGGTACCTGGTACTTATCAGTTTGTCATTTGTCTTTTGATGATTGGTAAAAGACTGATACTGCTGCCTTACACATTTGAATTCTTCCTTCTCCCAACCTCATTTCTACCTCCACAAATTATAAAGGGCACAAAGAACAGGGGGCGAGTAAGATATGACACAGGCCCTGACCAGTTTGGCTCAGTGGATAGAGCGTCGGTCTGTGGACTCAAGGGTCCCAGGTTCAATTCCAGTCAAGGGCATATACCTTGGTTGAGGGCACATCCCCAGTGGGGGTTGTGCAGGAGGCAGCTGGTCGATGTTTCTCTCTCATCGATGTTTCTAACTATCCCTCTCCCTTCCTCTCTGTAAAAAATGAATAAAATATATATATTTTTTAAAATATGACACAGAACAACAGCCTCACAAGTCAGAGGTGTAGGGCCAAGGTAAGGAGTGGACTGCACTGCCAACCAGAAAGCCTTCCTCCCACTCTCACTGTGAAATGTGGAACCCTAGATGAACTCTACCATATAGTGGTAACCACCAGATCACTGCGGGCAATAAATTAACCTGCCCCCACCTTGCCCATTGCTTCATGTTTAACAAGTCTATTCCTTACCCTGTCATTCACAGTTCCAATCTGGTTGGTCCTACATAACTTGCCATATTCCTTGCTGTACTTGGCACACAACTGATCAGCAACCTACCGAGAAAAAAGAACAGTAAATAAAAGTGGAAACCATTCCTATAGACTGCTTCAAGCTTTCTTCTATCAACAGTAAACAGGCTTCTATTACAGGATATTAAAAAAACTGGGGTCTATAAAACCTTAAGGGGTACATACTAATTAACTTGGTTATTGTTGTATCCATCCAATGAGCTGCAACTATATGTGGAACTCTAGAATAAGCATTACGATAAACACTATAAATAATGAACACCACCAGACACTGTTCCTACTCTTAGAGAATCTTATACTAGTTCTCAGGGAAAACAGTCATTACTCAATCACACAGATAAAGGTACAAATGCAGCTGCGAAAAGCGCTAGCTACCAAGGGAAAGTATACCATACTATGAGAATAGAATAAGATCTGATATATATAAATCTTTATATATATATATTAAAAAAGAAAAAAGGTAACTGGGTAGTGGGCACACAATACAATATACAGATGATGAATTATAGAACTGTACATTTTAAACTCATAATGTTACTAATCAATGTCGCTTTAATAAATTTAATTTTAATAAAAGGAAAATCAGGTAAAACTTCCAGAAGACATTTAACTAAATGAGGGAAGGAAGGGTATTACAAAAAAAGAAATCATGTGTAAAGGCCTCTGGTGGAAAAACAGGGCCAATCAATCCTCAAGCCAGAATAAGTCCAGTGCAGAGCCTGAGGGAGGAATGTAGTAAGAACCGAGAAAAGCAAATGGGGGCCAGACAATGCAGGGCCGTGTAGGCCATACAAAAAGTTTTGTTTCTATCACAAGCACAACAGAAAGATACCAAAGGGCTTTAAAATAAGGTGTAGTGACAGAATCAGATCAGTGTTTTAAAAAGAACCCTCAGTTGTCCTGATGTAATGGGGAACAGAGTAACGAAAACCAAAGCAGATATAGGAAGAACATTCAAGAAGTTACTACAGCCGAAACCGGTTTGGCTCAATGGATAGAGCATCGGCCTGCGGACAGAAAGGTCCCAGGTTCGATTCCGGTCAAGGGCATGTACCTGGGTTGCGGGCGCGTCCCCACTAGGGGATGCGCAGGAGGCAGCTGGTCGATGTTTCTCTCTCATCGATGTTTCTAACTATCTCTCTCCCTTCCTCTCTGTGGAAAATCAATAAAATATATTAAAAAAAAAAAAAAAAAGAGTTACTACATAGTTCAAGGAGGAGATGACAGTGTCATTGGACCAGAGTGGTTCCAAAACCTGCGAGCTCACTGAGGGAGCACTCACTGTCCAATATGTAGACTTTCACAGGTACCTGGTACTTATCAGTTTGTCATTTGTCTTTTGATGATTTTTGTTTTGCTTTATATTAATGTAGAATTTTAAAATATTTGCTTAATTTATCATTCTTCATTTATGGCTTTTGGGTTTTGTGGCATATTTAGTTATGACATTATTTTCTTAATCTACCTAGTTTTCTTCAAGTTTGTATGGTTTCATTCTTTTAAAGAAATGTAAATCTTTGTTTCATTTGGAATGAATCTATAATAATAAAAGGGTAATATGCTAATTAGACTGGACATCATTCCAGATGAAGCCAGGGCCTGAGGGAAGCCCGGGTCCCGGGTGCCAGAGGAAAGCCAGTGCCAGCAGCTGGGGGAAAGACAGCCTACTTCTGCACAAATTTCGTGCATTGGGCCCCTAGTCCTATATAATAAAAGCCTAATATGCTAAGTGTCCAGTCATCTGGTCACCCATTCAACCAATCAAAGTGTAATATGCTAATGATATGCTAAGGCCTCTCAACTGCTCGCTTTGATCTGTACTGACCACCACAGGGCAGACAAACAGTCACTATGACGTGCACTGAACACCAGGGGACAGTCGACCAGTCGCTATGATGTGCATGACCGGTAGGTGAGCTTGCTGCTGGGGTCTGGCTGATTGGGATTGACATGTCCCAGAGGCTTCCTGCAGTCCCTTCACGGCTGGCCAACCTCCCACATCCCTCCCCAGCCTCAATCGTGCAACGGTGGGGGTCCCTCGGCCTGGCCTGCTGGCTCTCGCAATCTGAGACCCTTCAGAGAATGCTGAAGAGTCGGTTTTGGCCTGATCCTGCAGGCCAGGCAGAGGGACCCCACTGGTACATGAATTCGTATACCGGGCCTCTAGTCTTAATATAAAGGAGAAGTATAAGAGAGACTAAAATGAGGTTAAAACTGTAAGAAGCAGTTGTCACTGTCAGCTGTCATAGGGGAAGGGGTAAAGGGGTTGGAGGTTGGGTGAGAAGGGGGAAGGGCTTCAGTAAAAAAAAAAAAAAAAAAGGACTCGTGGACACAGACAACAGAATGGTGATTGCCAGAGGGAAGGGTCAGAGGGGTAGAGGAGAGGAGGTAGAGGAAGGTAAAGGGGGGGTAAATGGTGATAGGAGATGACTTGACTTCGGGTGATAAACACACAATTACAAGCTATCAGATGGTGTATTATACAATTGTGTATCTGAAACTGATATAATTTATTAATCAATATCACCCAATAAGTGAAATTAAAAAAAAACTGTATAAATATTTTCCCTACTGTATCAAAATACAGGTTTACTCTCTGGGGAGGTTAAACTAAAGGGACTCTGGACTCCAAGCACAGCAGGGAGCAGAGATACTTACTGACCACAGAAGAATTAAGTGTACGTCTTCTATAAGAGAAGAATGAGACCTTTGGCTTCCTTCTCTCCTGGGCTCTCAGAAATGCTGTGAGCCAGCTTATACCTTCCAGGTGTAGGATTCCTCTCTAAGGAAAATGACCAACCCAAGGAAAGAAAACTAGTTCTTGACAGTCTGGAGTTCCCTCAAGAAAGGGCTTAGTCAGATCATTCAACTGAAGGCATCTGGCAGTAAGCCCCACCCAAGCATACAAGAGGTTCCAATTTGCTTTTTAAAAGTGTCTTACTTGCCCAGCTGGCATGGCTCAGTGGTTGAACATCAAACTATGAGCCAGGAGGTCATGGTTCGATTCCCAGTCAGGGCACATGCCGGGGTTGTGGGCTCGATTCCCAGTTTGGGGCATGCAGGAGGCAGCTGATCAATGATTCTCTCTCATCACTGAAGTTTCTATCTCTCGCTCCCTCTCCCTTCCTCTCTGAAATCAATAAAAAACATTCTAAATAATAAATAAATGTCTTACTCATAAATATAAACCAACAGCCAAGAGTTATCAAAACTAAGAAAAGCCTCTACTATAAAACAGTCTAAATCTAAGAAACAGAAAGAAAACAAACATTACAGAAACAAAAAATTAAAAGAAACTATAAACCCTGGCCAGTGCTTCTCAATGGTTAGAGCGTCAGCCTACGCACAGAAGGGTTGTAGATTCGATTCCTGGTCAAGAGCACCTATCTGGGCTGCAGGTTCACATGCGGAAAAGCAACCATCAATGTGTCTCTCTCACATCAATAGATGTTTCCTCTCTCTCCCCCCTCCCTCCCACTCTCCCTGAAAAAGCAATGAAAAAAATATCCTCAGGAGAAGATTCACAAAAAAATAAATAAACTATAATATTCTCAGAGAGTTAGTTAGAAGACATTGTAGCCATGAAACAAAAACAACAGACTATAAAAAATATTCAGAATTAAAAAGAGTTCTTAAAAAATAAAATAAGAGAAGGACATCTCAAAAGATGGGTTGGTAGAAAAGACTGAGACAATCTTAGAGAAACTAAAACAAGTACACAAAGATGCAGAAAGAAAGTAAGGAGAAAAATAACTTAATTGAACTGTTTTCAATTGAGTCAGTACCATATTCATGTTGTGGCAGGCAGGTTTTTAGTTAATGTCTGTCTCATCTGCTCGACTCAAAGCTACAAGTGTAAGGCTGGTATCCTATTTTGCACACCATTATACCCTCAGTGTCCACTTAGCACATAACATCTGCTCAATAAATATTTGTGAAATGAATGAATGAAGCAAAACATCTAAAATGAAATTGTTGCCGAAACCGGTTTGGCTCAGTGGATAGAGCGTCGGCCTGCGGACTGAAAGGTCCCAGGTTCGATTCCGGTCAAGGGCATGTACCTTGGTTGCAGGCACATCCCCAGTAGGAGGTGTGCAAGAGGCAGCTGATCGATGTTTCTCTCTCATCAATGTTTCTGACTATCTCTCTCGCTTCCTCTCTGTAAAAAATCAATAAAATATATTTTAAAAAATAAATTAATTACATTAAATTGTTTTAACTTTACTGGTTTACAATTGCGTAAGAACTTTTCTATTTGTATATACTTAAATAACATTTGTCAAAAAATAAAAAATTAATGGCACCACTTTAACCGTTTGGCTGCTGACGTATTTTTTCGGACATATGCCAAAACTGCGGCACTAATTGCGCGTGTATGGGAAAAAATGTAAAACACTTTTTATATAATAAACTCACTTGTATTGCTTTGCAACAACAAAAATTAAAAAATACCAATTGTTTACATAAATTTGTTTTAAATAAGAAGAGCACAATAGCGCTCCTTAGCAGTCAAACGGTTAAAATGGAACTAGAGCTCCCATGTTAGGGAAACTGCTTTGCATGTTTATGCCTCAAATCTTTGCAATGTTAAAACAGGGCAAAATAACCTTTGGGCTAGGCCTAGGGCAGTGATAGCGAACCTATGACACGCGTGTCAGAGGTGACTCACGAACTCATTTTTCTGGTTGATTTTTCTTTGTTAAATAGCATTTAAATGTATAAAATAAATATCAAAAATATAAATCTTTGTTTTACTATGGTTGCAAAGATCAAAAAATTTCTATATGTGACACGGCACCAGAGTTAAGTTAGGGTTTTTCAAAATGCTGACACGCCGAGCTCAAAAGGTTCGCCATCACTGGCCTACGGCAACAATGTGTCCCAAAGAACTGTTTGCTAAGATAACAAGAACAGCCAAGATAACTGCTGTTATTATGACTACTGGACTGATGGACTACTGAAATGAGAATTAAAAACATTATTTAGAATTAACAGCATTGTTATCTGCACCAATAGAAATGCCTTCCTTCTAGTGTTGCCCTTCCTTCTCATATATAGCCACTGCCTTTGTCTCCTAATAGAAACACTACATGGACTTCTGCCTGAATCAGTGAATCCCCAATAACTATTCTTATTGATCTCAAATAAATGCTTATTGCCTCTCACTTTGAAAGGCCTTTTTAAAGTTAACATATCACAATAAAAATAATTTAAGACAAAACTGAGGGTACATGAAACTTTGCTCCTTAAAAAAAAATTATTCAAGTTTGTAAAACACTCTTCTATGATATAAGGCTTAAAAAGGAAGAAGAAACACATTTATAAAGTCATTGTCAAAGGCAGCATGAGAAGGGTACAAAATACTTGGTCACATGAGCAGAAATTATTTATGTTAACCAATTTTTCTAATAATCTGAAAAACTACAGATATCACTGAAACTGGTTGTACTCACTATTTTCAATTCAGCCACTTCTGACTGGAGTCGAGGAGCAGCCCAGATAAGTGTAGACACAGATTCAGCCAGACCAGAATCTAGCTCCCTAATTAAGAAAAAAATTAATAAAATTTAACATTCTTTAAAACCAACCAACCACCCTAACATTTGTATGAATATAGTGATATAGCCTCTAAAGTTATTTCACAAATCTCTTTAACTTTTCAAATAACTGAACTTCTAGCCATTTTCATCACCCTATTTTACTTCTGGGAAAACTCAAAACTAAATGATGCACCCAAGGTCACCAAGTCAGGAAATGGTTCTGCCATCTCAACAGCTGTCTCTATGCTGGGATCAGGCTTCAAGGGAATAATAGGAAAAAGGTCCTTGGGTATGTGAAACAGTCCCTCAGTGCTCACCCATACATAAGAAGACCAATATTACTTCTTTCTCAAATTCCAGAGGTGATTATATTTAGGTCTTTGATCAGAATGTCTTATTCATTAAGGTTATACAAGATGAGTAAGTTCTAGAACTCTGTTGAACAACAACTGTGCCTATAATTAACAATACTGTATTGTGTGCTTAAAAATTTTGTTAAGAGGGTACAGCTCATGTTGTGTTCTTACCAAAAAGAAAAGAAAAAAAAGAAACAGAGAGGTGCAGGGATACAAGGAAACTTTTAAAGGTGATGTTTATTGCCTTGATTGTGGCATTTGTATACAGATATATGCATGTGTCTAAATTAATCAAACTGTATATTAATTATGTGCAGTTTTTGAACATCAATTATACATCAATAAAGGAAAAAGGAAAAATAAATAAATAAAAAGGCCAAAAAAGCTTACTTCATAGAGTGAATGAGGCCAAACCGGGCCAGCAGCAGGTCACAATACAGCTCCAGGATCTCCATGGCTTCCACGAGGTAGTCTTCCCGTATAATGTGCTCCACTCGGATTCGAGCTCGTTCATCTTTCCCAGCAGCCAGATAGTCAGCAATCTCTTTCCTTGCTTTCTGGGCCAGTTCCGCTAAGGCACAAATCCCACTCTAGTCACACAGCAGTAGTGCACTGGGCTTTGGCCTGCAGGCAGACCTCCACCCCAACAAAGACAAGTGGATGTTTCTACTATGTCCAAGCTCACTCCCTTAGCAAATCTAATCTAGAATTTGCTACTTTGTCTAGATGAGAATATTGTTTGTGTACCCAGAAATTTCAGGAGTCATGTTACCTATTCCATAGCAACAGAGTTAACAATAATAGAAACATTTGTTGTGGGTATCCCAGCCCTTTTCTTTCCCTGCAACAAAGAGATTCAATCTAACCAGATGTACCCAAAATTTAAAGGACATAGCATCCGTAAAAGTTCATAGTATTTAGCCTGAAAGAGCCAATATTGGGATACTAGGACCCAGTGATGTATTTTGGAAGAGAAAAATATAAGGCAATCATGCATTACTCACTTTTTTTTTTCTCCAATAGTTTAAGACGGTTTATGACTAATCTCAAATTGACTCGTAAACGCTCAGCTTTAAATCCAGAGCCCAGCATACTGTGCTATTCCTCCTGGAAAAAGATAAGAAACACAATGACTATCTTCAAGTTAAAATTAGTTCAAAAACTAACACCAGTTAGACTGCAGCCGTGGGCAAACTACGGCCCACGGACCGGATCCGGCCCGTTTGAAATAAATGAAACTAAAAAAAAAAAAGACCATACCTTTTTATGTAATGATGTTTACTTTGAATTTATATTAGTTCACACAAACACTCCATCCATGCTTTTGTTCCGGCCCTCTGGTCCCGTTTAAGAACCCATTGTGGCCCTCCAGTCAAAAAGTTTGCCCACCCCTGAAGAGAGTAGATTATTTGATACTACAAACTAGAGTGGTTTTCTAATACAGACATGATCTGATTCACATTTTTTAAAGATTTTTTTGGCTACTGTGTGGAGAACTGATTGGGAGAGGGTATTAATGGAAGCAAGACAACAAAGGAGAGCATATTACTATATTCCAGACAACATTTGGAAGCAGCTTAGACTGGAGTAGTTAGCAGTGGTGGTGGAAGAAGTGATCAGATTTAAGGCTATTTTGAAAGCAGAGCTGAAAGAACTTGCTGATGGATGAAATGAGTACCTATGTATATTGGTGTAGGACAGGGGTGATAAAAAGACAAGCAGGAAGGTCTCCTAATTCTCCCAAAAATCTCACCTAAATCTGAAAGCTTTGCCTCTAAGATAAGGAACAAAAAAAGGATACTCTCACCACTGTTGTTCACACAGTACAGAATTCTAGTCAGAGCAATCAGGCAAGAGGAAGAAATAAAAGGCATTCAAATTGGAATAAAGCAGTAAAATTGTCACTTTTTGCAGATGACATGATACAATATATAAAACACCAAGACTACCAGAAACAATAAACAAACAAAGCTAAGTTGCAGGATACAAAAATCAATGTATAAAAAATCCCTTGTGTTCCTATGTGTTAACAGTGAAATATCAGAAAAAGAAATGAAGAAAACAATTCAATTTGCAATTGCAACAAAAGGATAAATAACTAGAAATAAACAACACAAGCCCAGACCGGTTTGGCTCAGTGGATAGGGCTTCGGCCTGCAGACTGAGAGTCCCAGGTTCAATTCCAGTCAAGGGCATGTACCTTGGTTGCAGGCACAACCCCAGTAGGGGCGTGTGCAGGAAGCAGCTGATGGATGTTTCTCTCTCATCGATATTTCTAACTCTCTATCCCTCTCCCTTACTCTCTGTAAAATATCAATAAAATATATTTTTTTTAAAAAAGAAATAAACAACACAGGAAGAGAAGGATCTATACAATGAAAAATACAAGATGTTGTTGAAAGAAATTGATGAAGACACAAAGAAATGGAAAGACACTCCTTGTTCATGGATTGGAAGAATCAACATAGTCAAAATGGCTATTGTTACCTAATGCTCTATTCAGATTTACTGCCATCCCAAAGGCATTTTTCAAAGAAATAGAAAAAAAATTCATCAAATTTGTATGGAACCACAGAAGAGCCCAAACAGCCAAAGCAATCCTGAGAAAAAAAGAACGCCAGTTATCACACTTCCTGGCTTCAAATTATACTACAAAGCTACAATAATCAAAACAGTATGGTACTCTCTGAAATGGGGCTAATAGCCAAATAGATAAAGAACTCCTCCTCCCTCTCTCTCTCCTTCTCCCCTTCCCTCCACCCTCCCTCCCTTCCACTCTCTCTAAAAGTCCATGCGAAAAATATCTTCACTCCTCAGGTGAGAAATAAATAAATAAATAAAACAAAATGTATAAAGAACTCGTACAACTCAGCAAGTATACAAACAATCCTATTAAAAAATGGACAGAGAGTCTGATCAGATGCTTTTCCCAAGACATAGCAATGGTCAACAGATATTATGAAAAGATGTTCAACTTCACTAGCTCTAAGGGAAATGCAAATCAAAATCACAATGAGACACCACCTCAGATCTGTTAGGGCGGCTATCATCAGTAAAACAAGAAATAACAAGTGTTGGAGATGATGTGGATAAAAAGAACCCTCATACACTGCTGGTGGGAATGTCAACTGGTGCAGCTACTATGGAATACGGTATAAAGGTTCCTCAAAAATTTAAAGATAAAGCTACCATATGGCCCAGTAATTCCTCTTCTGTGTATCTACCAAGAAAAAAAAAGAATTGAAAACATTTATTCAGCCCTAACTGGTTTGGCTCAGTGGATAGAGCATCAGCCTGCAAACTGAACGGTCCCAGGTTTGATTCCAGTCAAGGGCATATACCTAGGTTGCGGGCACATCCCCAATGGGAGGTGTGCAGGAGGCAGCTGATCAATGCTTCTCTCTCATTGATGTTTCTAGTTCTCTATCCCTCTCCCTTCCTCTCTGTAAAAAATCAATAAAACATATTTTTAAAAAAATATTCATATATATATATGTATCCTATGTCCACTGCAGCATTATTCACAGTAGCCAAGACATAGAAACAACCTAAGTGTCCTTTGATGGATACCTGGATGAAGAAGATGTGGTAATACTTATATACTATGGAATATTATCCTACCCTATGTAATAAAACCCTAATACGCAAATAGACCGAACGGCAGAACAACCAGTCGCTATGATACGCACTGACCCCAGGGTGGTCAGTGCTCTCCCACAGGGGGAGCATCACTCAGCCAGAAGCTGGGGTCGTGGCTGGCCAGCCT